CTGCGCCCATCCGCCCTGCCCTGCGCCCATCCGCCCTGCGGGCCCTGACCTGCGCCCATCCGCCCTGCCCTGCGCCCATCCGCCCTACGCACCCCGGCCCTCCACCCCTCCCAATGGCTAGGCTGGGTATCCGGCCGCCCTCCAGAAGCCCGACTCCCCACCATGGCCTACCTTCTGCGGCTTGCCCTGAGCTGGCTGGGCCCTAGAAGAGAAGGGAAAAGTGGCGTCGGGGGCCGGCCAGGGCACAGGGCGCACAGGCACCCACCCGGCCGGCCCCCCACCTGCTGAGACCCAGGCTGAGGTGCTCCCCGCAGGCGCGGATCTTGTTCTGGGCTTCAATGTGCGTGAGGCTCCCTGCATTTTCCCCATCGATGCTCAAAACCCAGTCACCAACAGCCACGCCAGCTTGGGCGGCTTTGCCTCCAGGGGTGAGCTGTGGAGAGATGGAGGGGAAGGGGAGGGGGTCACAGAGGGCCCCGAACTCTGTCAGCCAACCTGTGGTCAGCCTCCTGGATTCCCAATCTCAAGAACCTCTTCAAACGAGGTGCCGGGTGGCTCCCGCCTGTCATCCTAGCTACTCAGGACGCTGACATCTGGGGATCACAGTTCCAAGCCAGCCCAGGCAAGGAAAGTCCAATAAACCACCAGAAAACCGGAAGTGGCGCTGTGGCTCAAGCTGAAGAGCTCAGGACAGCGCGCAGGCCCAGAGTTCAAGCCCCATGACCGACAGCAAGAAAACAGACATCCTCAATCAACATTTTTCTGGGCACCCCTAGCCACTCAGGAGGCTGAGATCTGAGGAGTGACCACAGTTCAGTCAGCCTAGGCAGGAAAGTCCTTAGGATTCTTTATCTCCAACGAAGCATCAAAAAGCCAGAGGGGGCTTAAGTGATAAAGTGCTAGCCTTGAGCAAAAAAAAGCTCAAGGACAGCACCCAGGCCCTGAGTTCAAACCTCAGGACCAGCACCACCACCACCACCAAACCAAAAAGTGACCTTGGAGGTGGCAGTACTTACCCAAGCTTCACATTCCGTCCAGCGGCTATTGATTCACCTGTGTGACCCTTTGTCCTGGCAGTTCGGGAATGACATCAACAGCCATGGTCAGGCTCCGCCTCCAACCTCTGGGCTATGACCGTGGCCTTCCTATTGGCCTCCTGCCTGGGCCTGTGCACTAGCTGTCCATCCCTGGTCAAGCTGGTGTGCGCACTGATCTCACACTGCCAGCATCCTGTCCTGCAGCCCTCCCCCAGGGGCTGCCTGCCCCCAGAGCCAGGAACAGGCCTCTGGCATCTCCAGCTCCCGTGCCTGAATGGGGTACAAGGCCTCTCCAGGTGCTGGTGGCTCAAGCCTGTCATTTCAAGTTACTCAGGAGGCTGAGACTTGAGGATCATGGTTCAAAAGCCAGCCTGGGCAGCCAAGTCCAAGACACTGTAATCTCCACCAGCAAAAAGCCTAAAGTGGAGGTGTGACTCAAGTGACAGAGCACCAGACTTGGGGGGGACGGGGGAGCCAAGCAAGAGTGTGAGGTCCTAAGTCCCAACAGCAGCACAAAAACAAACACACAAAAACCAGGTGTCACCCTTATGAGCCCCAATTTTGGGGGCTGAGTTGGGAATCTGTTTTATGAGTAGGCTTGGAGTAGCTGATAAAGCTGGGAAGGGGTGGGCCTTGGTCCAAGGAGCCTGCTGCCCTGGTCGGACAGTCTCAGCTGAAGGAACAAGACTCTTGGCCACTAGAAGTTGCCAAGGCTAGGAGAGAGTACTTCCCAGGATGAACAGAGGTGACCGGCACCTTTGTGGCAAGAGGCCTGGCGCTGTCTAACAGGTTTGATTTAGTTAATTTATACGTTACAGGTGGTGGTGGAACTTGGGGTTGCCCAAGACCCCAGGAGACACGTCAGACTGATATACAGACTGTACTGAGATGGAGAAGAGAAAGTGTGAGGGATTCCAGGCAAATGCCAGGGAGTGGAGGGAACAGAAACCAGCATCAGGATAAAAGGGAGGAGAGCTGGGTTTTGTTGTTGTTGTTGTTTCCTTTTGTTGGGGGGGGGGCGTGAACTTTGGGCCTTGGCGCTGTCCTTGAGCTCTTCAGATCAAGACAAGTGCTCTTCCACTGAGCCACAGCGCCACTTCTGGTTTTCTGGTGGTTCATTGGAGACAAGAGTCTCATGGACTTTCCTGCCTGGGCTGGCTTTGAACTGTGATCCTCAGATCTCGGCCTCCTGAGTAGCTAGGATGACAGGTGTGAGCCACTGACACCTGGCCAGAATTCTTTTTCTCTTTATTTTCTGTTGTCAGTACTGAGGCTTGAATTCGGGACCTGGGTGTTGTTCCTTAATCTTTTTTTTGCTCAAGCCTAGCATTCTGCCAAGTTCCTTTCCTTGAATTTTTGGTGGTTCGTTGTGGGTAAGTCTCACAGACTTTTCTGCCAGTCTCACTTCACACTGTGATCCTCAGATCTCAGCCCCTGAGTACCTAGGATGAGAGGCCTGAGCCAGGCGCCCGGCTTGAAGACTCAATTCCTACACAGGCTGCTTTGGGTCAGCCAGCTATTTAAAACCAAGGCCAGATCTGACCCTGGCTGAAAGTCTCCACCTCTCTGGGTCACCTTGCTGAGTGTGCAGCGCCAACCGACACGCTTAGAGAGACACTGTCAAGCCAGGTGTGGTGACACACGGGGGGGGGGGGGGGGCAAGCCCAGCACTGGGAAGGCTGAGGCTGACATAACAGGGGTCTGTCTTGCAGAAATAAATCCTTCCTGGCCCCCTGGCTGGGTCTGGATCTCCTCTCTCAGCTATGGTCCAACCTGAACCCTTAAAATTGGCATCGGGAAGTGACACTATGGAGCGAAGTAGGGTCACCGTGAGTCAGAAGGAAAACCTGGTCCAGCCACGCCCTGCGCACGCACGGGCCAAGTCCTGGGGGGGGGCCGACTCCTAGTGAGGGTCTTGGGGTAGGGAATGGGGGGGGAGCTGGCTCCTAGAACATGAATGGGGGGGGCTGTTTCTTTCCTGGAGTAAGGAGGGCAGGAAGCACTCAAGGGCCGGGGAAGGGCAGAGGTCAGAAGTGTCGTGAAAGGGGGGGGAGCATTCTGGGAGAGATGAGTGCAGGGAGGAAGTGAGGCCAGAGGAGACTCAGGGATAAAGGAGGGGAAAAGTCAGGGGGCTGGACAGTGCAGGGGTGGGGGTGAGTCAGTCCCAGGGCTCCACAGCACAGCCCAACCCCCCAGTCCCAGACATTACCTCATCTCCCAGGCCCGGGCCTACAGCCAGCCCTAACCCCTCCCTTCTGTCTCCACTGTGGGGTCAGGGGAGGGGTAGGACGCTGGGCCAGCTCCGAAAGACCACCCCACCCATCCACCCATCCGGGCTGAGATCCAACACGCTAGGGCAGGGCCAAGCTGGGGGGGGGGGAGGACTCACTCAAGGGCTATAGACAAGGGAGTCCAGAATGCCCCCAAGAGGACACACCTGAGCAGCAGAGACCCCAGCACAGACCAGCACTTTTCCAAGGAGGATCATCAGGATGGGAGGGGGGGTCTATGTGTGGGAAGGGGATCACCATCTCTAGTCATCTGCTGAGAGGGCAGGTTTCCAGGGGAACCCTCTAGGAAAAAAAAAAAAAAACCCTGGGAAAAGTGCTGTGTGCCTGCCCTGGCTTACCACGACTCCCACAGACCCCACTCTGCCTTGGGAACTGCTCTCGGACAACCCGCTGGCCCCCTCTGGGCTTCCCGCCAAGAGTGCCTGCCCACAGGGCGGCTGGGTGGGCCCTTCTGGGCAGGAAGTTCCCGCCCCTCTCTGACCCCCTAGGCCACAGGAGGAGCCAAGGAGCCCAAGCTGGCCTCTCCCACTCTGGGCTTGCAGTCTACATGACTGGACCCTCCTGCTGATGAGCAGGTACCAGGCCCACCAATAGGGTTCAGGGGTCCAGGCCTAGGCCAACCCTTTTGGGCACCGTAGACTCTAGCTACTGTTGGATAGTCCGCATGGGCTGCATTCTTGGGCTTATAAGGTAATACCCCCAGTCACAGGGAGGGGCCAGCCCTTCCCCACCCCACCCCCCACCATACACCAGGGCTGCTCAGGAATTAGGCTGCTAACCATACAGCCCAGCCTTACTATGGCCTCTGCTTAGGATCAAAAGCCAAAACCTGGTGAATGGACCAGTGGATGGGAATCGATAGGCAGGGAATCTTCTGTTTGTTTGTTTGTCTCCATTCCTTCCTTTCTTGCACCTGCAGCGGGGCTTGAACTCGGGACCTAGAATTCTTGCTCAACTTTCTTGCTCACAGCTGGTCCACTCTCCCACTTGAGCCACACCTCCAGTCTAGCATTTTGCTGGTTCACTGGTGATGAGTTTTAAAAGACTTCCCTACCCAGGTTGGCTCTGAACTAAAATCCTTGAGGTCTCAGCCTGAGTGGTTAGGACTACAGGTGTGAGCCACGAGCACTGGGTTAGAGCTGCATGCTTTCATCTAGCTTTTCCAGTCAAGGCTGCTGCTCTACTGCTTGTACTACTCCACTTCTGGCTTTTTGCTGGACTTTCCTGCTCAAGCCAGCTTTGGACTGCAATCCTCAGATCTCAGCCTCCTGAGTAGCTAGGATGACAGGCGTGAGCCACCAGTGCCCGGCTTGGAGACCCTCTTTGTAAACACAGAGAGTGAGGCCATGCTGTGCGCCTCAGTCCAGATCTCCGCTCTGCCATGGAATGGTTGTCTCACTTGGAAAAACATGACAACTGCTATTTCTTGGGTAGTGAAGTTGAAGTAAGATCATGTGTCAAAGTGCCCTGCCTGTGACCTGGCTCCACACACTACTCCCACAGGGTCCAGCACTGCCCGGAGTCCATCCTTGGCTCTCAGAGGTGATCACGGGAGCTCGGTGAAAGGACATTGAACACAGTGCATGTAGAAGTCCGGGAGTCCCCTCCCCCAAGATGTACCTAGTTGGACACTCACATTTCTGGCTCTGTGTGTGTGTGTGTGTGTGTGTGTCAGTCCAGGGGCTTGAACGCAGAATCTGGGTGTCATCCCTGACCTGAGTTGCTTTTATGTTCAGGCTTAATGCTCTACCACTTGAGCCAAAGCCAGACTTTCCTGCCAAGGCTGGTTTTGGATTGTGATCCTCAGATCTCAGCCTCCTGTGTAGCTAGAATTACAAGCCTGAGCCAGGCCCTTTTTGACCCCCCCCCCCTCACTGCTCCTGCTCTGATTTCCCCTCCCATCACCCACTAGGAACCCTGAGCACCCAAGGACCCCTGGCAGGAGTCCAGTGCTCAATCCAGGCTCACCCGGGAGATGGAGAGGGGCACGTTGAAGTCTTTCCCGCCTTGCAGCCGGAAGCCCCAAGGCGCAGGACCTTCCAGGACCACCTTGAAGGAATCCATGGTGTCTGCTCCTGAGAGGAGGGAAGAGAAGACCAGAGGGGCCACCATGGGCGGGTGGGCAGGACCGGTCAGCCAGTAGCTTGGACAAGGTGCCAGAGTGGGCACGGGTAGGCCGTGTGTGTGCAGCCGAGACACCGCCAGGCTGCTATCTGGTCAGGCTTTGGCGGGCACACCTCATTTGTAAAGACAAGGGCGGCCACCACCCCAAGGCCTCCTGGGTGGGGAGGTTGTGGGGGGGCCTCATCCGGACTCCAGGGGCCAGGGGTGGGCGGCAGGGCGACCCTGGCACGGCCTTCTCCCGGGTCCAGCCCGCGGGACGGGGTGAGTCAGGGGCCCGGGCCTGGCCTCCCCGCCCCCAGGTCCGGGCGGGCCGCGGCTGGAGCCGCTCGGACTATATAAGGCGTGTAAGCTGACACTGCGGCGAGCGGCGGCGGAGGGAGCTCCGGGGGCTCGGCGCGGGGGAGGGGAGGCGG